GATTTTCCTTAGATATCGTCACTTATCTGAGCCTGAAGTCCTTGATTCTGGCCATAAAACTGCACAAGCAAAGTTTCCCTGAGCACCATGGGCCAGCGCACCCTTAATCACAAGTTCAAACCCTTCCTACCATTTCACTGCAAACACAATGGTTAATGAGGCCTTGTTGACAAGAACAGTCCGTTATCAGCAAGCTAATGACCACTCAGGCCACAGCGGGATGCCAGCCTACAATTAGGTCTGCAGTGATGTACAAACAGAAAGGAACTCTCATTATAATTAAACCTGATCCTTTAGTCCAATTGCTCATTAGGAAAGAAAATCAAACAAACCACATTTCCCACACAAGAAGGCCCCAGACTAATACTTTGGTCCAGGAATGAAAGGCTAGGCTATTAATTTGAGTGTTTATCTTATGACTATATTCTCATTCAAAAGTACTTTTTTGAGTAATTAAAAATGATTGTTTTCTCATCTTAATGGTTATAGAAGTCATGACACATAGGATGGTATACAATCTTTTATTTTCTTCATTTTATTTATCACTAATTTCCATTATTATCTATGAATATGTATTATTTGTGCAATGAAACATGTTAAACTATACTATAGGGGTCAGCACTGTGGCTCAGAAAGTTAAAGCCATGGCCTACAGTGCCAGCATCCCATATGGGTGCCAGTTCGAGTTCTGGTTGCTCCAGTTCCACCCAGCTCCCTGTTAATACATCTGGGAAAGCAGCAAAAGCATCCAGATCCCTGGTAATGCATCTGGGAAAGCAGCGAAGGATGGCTCGAGTGCTCCGGCCCCTGCACCCACATGGGAGACCAGAAGAAGCTACAGGCTCCTGGCTTCGGATCGCCCAGCTCTCCCATTGGGGCCATCTGGGAAATGAACCAGCGGTGGAAGATTCTCTCTCTCTCTCTCTCTCTCTCTCTCTCTCTATATATATATATATATATACACACACACACATATATATATATAAATCTTTTTAAGTGTACTCTATATTACAAAATTCTCTTTAAGCATTTAAAAAATATATCTAGGAATATGCAAAGATACTTTAAAAAGTTCATGGAGGAGCTGGCATTGTGGCATGATGGGTTGAACCTCCACCAGTTTTTGAGTTCTGGCTGCTCCATTTCTGATCCAACTCCCTGCTGGAGGCCTGAGAAAGGCATTGGAAGATGGCCCAGGTGCTTGGGCCCCTGCACCCACGTGGGAGACCCAGTGGAGGTTCCATGTTCCCAGGATCAACCTAGTCCAGTCACGGCCATTGCAACCATTTGGGGAGTGAATCAGGGGATGGAGGTTTTCTCTGTCTCTCCTCCTCTCTCTCTGACTCTTTCAAATAAAATTTAAAATAAATCTTTTTTAAAAAGTTAATGGAAAATGAAATTAATAGATAAGTTTATTTTTATGCAAAAATTTGAAATCCATGCATAGTTTTTTCATAATATGCATTGTCCATGTTTTTTTTTTCCAAGATTCCTCATGGGAATGCATATAACCATCAACCTCTCATAATTAGAAGGAGGCTACATGCTCTGTTGAAAGGCAATGTGGGCACTGGTTCTAGTCCTAGCTGCTCCTCTTCTGACCCAGCTCTCTGCTATGGCCTGGGAAAGCAGAAGAAGATAGCCAAGTCCTTGGGCCCCTGCACCCACGTGGGAGACCCAGAAGAAGCTCCTGGCTCCTGATTTTGGATTGGCGCAGCTCCAGCCACTGCAGCCATTTGGGGAGTGAACCAGAGGATGGAAGACCTTTCTCTCTCTCTCTGTCTCTCTCTCTCTCTCTCTCCCTCTGTAACTCTACTTTTCAAATAAATAAATAAATCATTTTAAAAAATCTCAATAGCATAAGATTGTCCATTTTCCCACCTATTTGACAAGGACCTTCACACATGGTTTTAAGATGCATGTTGTTCCACATTTTAATATCACTGAGGGTCTATCGTTGTGACATAACAGATAAAGCTGCTATCTGGGATGCTAGCATCCCCAATGGGTGCCAGTTTATGTCCAATCTGCTCTACTTCCAATTCCTGATAATATCCTGGGAAAAACAACTGAAAATGACACAAGTGCTTAGGCCTCTGCCACCCATGTGGGAGACACAGATTAAGTTCCTGGTCCCTGGTTCCAGCCTGGCCCAGCCCTGGCCATTGCAATCTCTTGGAGAGTGAATCAGAGAATGGAAAAGATTCTCTCTCTCTCTCTCTCTCTCTCTCTCTCTCTTTCTTTCTCTCTCTCTCTCTTTCCCTCCCTCCCTCCCCACCCATATACAAAATAAATAAATCATTACAAATCTCTAAAACAGGGATGCATCTTTTAAGCAATGATTCTCAGCATGTGTTTTACATTGACTGCTAAGTGGTCTATAAAACAGCAGCACAGCTTATAACTGGTGGCTTCTTAGAGTACAGAAAGCACAAAATTAATGGCACATCTCATAGATTCAAGACCGCCACTCTAAACCTCAAGGATATGTGAACAAGAAATGTAAAGTTTGTCTCTTATGGAGCTCTCATGATGGTGGGAGACATAGATAATAAATAAATGAACAATTACGTGGCACACTGAAGTCAAGTAATGTGCTAGAGACTGAATAGGACCTAGATTTAAGTCAAGATCCCAATCTACTGGATAAAAAGTATTCACAAGCAGTTTTTTTGAAAAATTAGATATCACATAAGGAGAAATTGCAATTTAGAAGGAATTTACACACATTTTAGGAATGCATCTCTTCCACTAGAATGTAGAATCCTTGAAAATAATTCTTAAAAGGACAACTTCTTTAATGTTAAGCAAAAAGCATAGTAGGGATTGGACCCTTGATCTGAAGCATCAGCATACTTTTTCTGCATGGAGTCAGATAGCCAGTAATTCCAGCTCTGCATATCATAACGTCTCTGGTGCTATTATTCACCTCCATCATTGTGACATGAAAGAAGCATAGACAAATGAGCATGGCTGGGTGCCACTAAAACTTTATTTACAAAAACAGGTCACAGACTAGACAGGCTCCATACTGCAGTTTGAGGACTCCTGGGCTAGACAGCTACTCTAAAAGGCTACCAGAACTCTGAAAATCTGAATTCTAAACAAGGAAACCGATTTACCACAACTACATACAACATCCACATGATTCCATGGTTTTTAGGAAGGCTACAAAAACAAAAAAGGGAGCACCAATGTTTCTGCTGTGTAATAAGTAGAGATGAAACACTTGAGAAATATTTATGCAAAAACTCATCCCAACACAATACAGTCTTCCAGAAAGATTCAGGGAATCCTGCACAAAAAAGATCAAGCCCTTTTACAGCCACAGGTAGGAAGTGAGCATGCGATTACTGACTTCTGTATGCTCAGCCCTTGTTCCACTGCATTCAATTACACAGCTGGTTACAACTGTGTATTTGCACCTGTTCAAACCTTCAAATGTGCTGATCTCATATTAATTAAACAACTCCTTAAAAGCAGGTTAAAAACAAATTAGACCCTGCCATCGTATGCCTGTCCCTGCCTTCCCTCAGAGGCCCTTTTCTACAAGGGATCATCTACTGAGGGTAAGGAGCAGTGCTTCTTTGTAATTAGGGAGGGGCTCTTTATGCCCCATCAATTAGTGCTGCCATCACTTAACAAAAACGTTTGTTGGTACAATGTACATATTAGTGACTAATTAATAAGGGTTGATTAGCTAAGCTTCCTCTCAAGGTACAATAGACAACAGCTGTGTTCCATGAGGACCACTGATTGGAACAGAGACATCCAAACAGTAACATTAAAGATAGTCATGCTGGTGGCCCTCATCTTTCTGAAAGGCTAAGAGACAGCAGTTCATGGCTAATCCTGTATCTCCTAAATATAGCAGTTTCAAATGACTTAAGTTTTCAAGGTTTTCTGGCTTAAAAATTGAGGGAAACTCACACTATGGAAGGTAATTGTGACAGGGAGATAGAGAAATTAATCCTACACATATGGAATGCACAACATGCTACAGAACATGGGATGCAAATACTTATCTATGTAGATATGCCCGTTGTACCTGTAAGTGTTCTTTTTCAAAGTTTTTGTCTATTTCTTTGCTTGTTTTGATCTAATCATTTTTATGATCTGTTTTTATTTGAAAGGCAGACTGACAGAGAAAACAAGAGAGAAAGGTTTCCATCCACTGACTCACCTTCCAAATACCCATAAAAGCCAGAGCTAGGCCAGGCTGAAGCCAGGAGTCAGGAACTCAATCTGGGTCTCCACCTAGATGGCAGTAACCCAAGTACTTGGGTTATCAAACACAGCCTCCCAGGGACATTTGCAAAAAACTGGATTGGAAGTAGAGTAGCTGGATTTTGAACCAACACTCCGATATAGGATGTGGGCAACCCAAGCAGGGGCTTAACATGCTGTACCGTAACACCTGCCTCAATGTTATCTATATTAAGAGCATGGAATAATGGGGAAAAACAGGGCACTGCGATTTTGGATTTGATCTGTTACAGATCAAGCAAAATGTTTATGTTTCTATTCTATCAGTTACTGTGTTACATCATAATTACCTCGTCTTATCTCTCTCATGCACACAAATTCAGAGACACAAATTTTGATCATGAATTCTTTGAAGGTAAGTGTAAACTCTCATTTATTATCTTCATATTCCATAGGTGAGATGTCTTAACTATCTGATGAAGAGATTATGGAATGAAGATTTTAACTCCTGTGTACTGGGTAAGATAAATTAGTAGCAAATCCTACCTGTGGCTGTTAACTTATCTTCAAAATGTCTAACCAATAGAGATTTTCAACCTGTAAATAAGGTTCAGAACCTTTTGTTATTCTTAGCACACACAACTTTTATCTCTTATTTTTGCTTTTACCAGTGAAATATTAGACCTGGTACATATATACCTTAAACACATTAACAACACTTAAAAATCTAGAGCAGGCATTTAGTCAAACAGTTAAGATATTGGTTAAGAAGTCTATGTATCATATCAGAGTACCTGTGTTTGATGTCTGGCTCTGGCTCTGGCACCTGACTCCAGCTTCCTGCTAATGCAGACACTGGGAGGCAATGGTGATACCTCGTGCAACTGGGCTCCAGCCACCTCTGTGGGAGACCTGAATTGAGTTCCTGACTCCTGGCCTCATTCCTGCCTGAGACCAGGCCGTTGCAGTCAACTGGGGAACAAATAAGCAGATAAAAGTGTGTTCACTCTCTAAAGTAATTTTTAAAAATAATAAAAATAAAGTCTACATGTTATATTACAATTATTTACTTGTAGTCTTTTATCTACATGTCTAAAATTGAAATCATTCTAATGAGGTACTTCCCTTGTAGTCCCATCACCTTCACTGAAATCAGAAAGCCCAATGTTCTGGTGACATCCTCCAAGGTGTAACCCACTAAACACAGGGAGCTTTGCAAGAACAAAAGTATTCCCCTCACTGATGTGCTTCTCAATACCTTAGTTGAGGAAATCTCATCTGAGCTCTCTTGTGGTGTACCCGAGGTATAGTGTGCAGGTATAAAAACAAATCCCTTCCAATATTCCTGCTTCCCTAAGCCTCTGGATTTCCTCCTCTACTTCATGTCAGGAAAGTTTTGGCATCACCACTACTAGGCCGCAACTGAGTACAATTTTAATCAATCACATTAAGTAGTTAGAGCTACCTCTGGTTGCTCAAGTTAACATGTTAAGTCAGGACTCACTGTCAATGAACATGGAGAGTTATATTCATGGAGAGTTATATTCCACCTTTGTAGTTCTAATATCCTTAGAATCCACTCCCATACACGTTCTTCAGTTTTCTGCCAACATATGTTAGCAAATGGAAAACTGCCAGCCAGGGAGTTTGAATGTGCCAGCTATTTCCTTTTCAGTCGTAATGTGTGCCCAGCCACTTGAAGCATATGAGATTTGACCCTACTGACAACAGTTGTGTTTAGGAGGGCAGGTGAAGACTTCTGTTTCTGGTGAGGCTTTCATGAGATTTTTAAAGCAGGGGAAGGTTAGTGTTCTCAGACTCAACAGAGCAAACCACTCCCACTGGCATGGGAAATCAGAATGACTTCATAATGTGAGACTGTCAATCCCATCTGCATCCAAAAAGATGTTTGATCCTTCTAAATTTTAGGATTCCAGTCTTTCCCAATCAATGTCTTCATCATTACATGAGAAACTGTCATCTTCTAAAGTCAACTGACATTAAGCTCAGCAACTCATGCAACTAAATTTTGTGTTTGTTTTCTGCAATATCGGACAATATCAGACCTGTGACCACAAGAAATAAAAAGTTCTGTTAAGTCCATCATAGACGCTCTCTGTTACTCAGACCATGACTTGAGATGACAGTTAAAAAAAAAACCTAAGCTTGTGCTTCTCTTTCTTCAATTATTCCAAGAAAATCTGTCCCATGATAGTCTTTGCTGTCAGTACCGTTTCCATATTGATCAAGTGTCACAGCCATTCAGGCTTCAATGGCACTTGCCTCCGTTGTATTTCATTGTAGTCGTTCACAGATAGGTTGATTAATTGGGATCTAAAGGGCACGGGGCAGTATTGAACTTCCCACTGAGAATTTCAGTACTTGCAAGAGACATAACCAAACCAGCCCCCAAATCTAATCCTTGAGCACCTGTCTCCTAGATCCACTCCCATTGTCAAGTCTGTATCTGTGTGAGTCCTGTCAGGAGACAGAATACACATGAATAATTTTAAATAGAGAAAGTTTAATATAAAGCATTATTAATTAGTAACAAGATTATGAGGGGATTAAAGAGGAATCTAGTGAAAAAACTGGAACTGAGATTACAGAAACCAAACTTGAAAGGGGGCCCTCTCTCCCAGGCTGAGACCCAGATCCTATAATAAAAGGGTATGGCTATGGCCAGCTGGCTAATAAAGAAGTTTGATGGTACACAGCAGGTCAGTCCTATAGCCAAGAGTCCATGGCCATTAAGCAAGAAACTATGGATCAGGACTGGCCAGCAGAAAACCTCCTTCTGGGGTGACAGCAGGTGAAAGTGAAGATCAGGAAGCAATTGGATGGCAGAAAAGTTTACTAGTTTGCCCCCAGGTGTGAGTTGTTCCACATCTGGCAAGCTGGAAAGCATGGGCTGAAACAGGCAAATGGAAAACTGTAAGCCAGGGAGTTAACAAACCTTGCTGGAGTTTGAGGACCAGTCAATGTTCTGGATGTCACTGGCAGTCACTCTGTAAGAATTAAACAGAAGAAAGCATACCGGAGGCCCTTTATTCCATTCACTGCTCTCTAATGAAAACCTGAACCTAGTGCTAGCTAGGAAAGGAGAAATGTTAACAGGGTCCAAGTCCAGTATCACCAAGCACAACAAAAAAGGGTTGGTTTGGAGCTGAGAGTCAATATATTGATTATCTGCGCATGAGAGTTTTTCCTTTATTATTAACTACAGAAATTATTATGATTGATCCTTTATTTTTGAAACTCTAGGGGGCGGCACTGTGGCGTAGTGGGTAAAACCACTACCTGCAGTGCCAGCATCCCATATGGGCGCCAGTTCGAGTCCCAGCTGCTCCACTTCCTATCTAGCTCTCTGCTATGGCCTGGGAAAGCAGTAGAAGATGGTCCAAGTCCTTGGGCCCCTGCACCCATGAGGGAGACCCAGAAGACACTTTTGGCTTAGGATCAGCACAGCTCGGGCTGTTGCAGCCAACTGGGGAGTGCGCCAACGGATAGAAGACCTCTCTTTCTCTCTCTTTCTCTCTCTCTCTCTCCCCCCACCACCCTCTCCCTCTCTCTCACTCTGCCTCTCCTTCTCTCTGTATGTAACACTGGCTTTCAAATAAATTTTTTAAAAAAGCTTAAAAAAAAAAAAAAAGAAACTCTATTATCCTGGAGAATAAATGGTTTGCAGAAGTTCTAATATCCATTCTCTCCTTTTACCAGGAGCACAATCAGAAAATAAAAATAGAAACACACCAATGCACCTACTGTGTAACCACATTCTAGGATGCACAGGAGCTTACTCTCTGTTAGGTACAGCTTACTCAGTAAAGTCAGTATGGAAACATTCTTGGCTTTCCTGTCTTTAGTCAACCAAATTTCAAATCCAAACTCTGAGACTTAAGAATTCTCTATTACTCCACACTTCCAATTACCCGAGCTTCAATGGAGACTGTTTTCTCCATTAGTTATAATTACTATCTTTTAACACATTTTATCCTTTTTCATTTCTTTAATACCTCACTAATATACATATTATTATCATTTGCCTATTTGATGATTTTTTATTGAATATCCAGAGTAGACAAAGGTATAAGGAAACAGGTACACTAATACATATCTGGAAAAGACGTATATTGAAGAACAACTTGAAAATGCAATGTAATTAATAACTGTTGACACCCTTTAAACCAGAATTTCTACTTCTCGGAATTTAGCCGTTTTCAAAAGTACTTTCATAGTTGGAAAAGTTTATTAGTTAAATGGTGTAACTAGCATAAATTTTCTTCAGCACAAGAATAGTTAAACAAAACCATGACTTCTTCACATGTTGGAAAAACTACACAACATAATGACCTGCAATTAAATAGACTCATATGAAAAAATGCCCAAGACATGTAGTTAAATGAAAATGCAGACTGCCAAAGATTGTTATTCCACTATAAAACATATAATAGTAGCAACTAGGGTGACAATCATATAAAATATATATGTTCAAGGGAAAGAAAAGAAGTTATAAAAAGAATATCTCAAATGAGCATGATGTTCTTTGAGGAACAGGAGTATGAAGGGCTTCTATTCTCTGTGTTATCTATTAAACAAGTTAATATTTGTAAACTCTTTAAAGGGAGGTTGACACATAATAAGTACTGCCATATAAAGTTTACTGGAATAAGACAAAAACGAAATATGATAACATAAAATATGTACTATTGGGGCCGGTGCTGTGGCACAGTAGGTTGCTCCTCCACCTGCGGCACCAGCATCCCATGTGGGCGCCGGTTCTAGTCCCGGATACTCCTCTTCCAATCGAGCTCTCTGCTGTGGCCTGGGAAAGCAGTAGAAGATGGCCTAAGTCCTTGGGCCCCTGGACCCACATGGGAGACTGGGAAGAAGCACCTGGCTCCTGGCTTCGGATCAGTGCTGCTCCAACCATTGCAGCCATTTGGGGAATGAACCATCAGAAGGAAGATCTTTCTCTCTGTCTCTCTCTCTCTCTCTCTCTCACTGTCATAACTCTACTGTCAAATAAATAAATAAAATCTTTTTAAAAATATGTACTATTTTATTATGCTTGTACTAAATACAAGAATGAAAAGGTGAAAGTTTTGTTAGATCTCATATTTCTTTGAGTGGCAGGTTGCCTCTTGTGAATCTTACTAGAATCTTAAAGGATTGTTCTTAGTTTCTCTTTCTAATAGAAACACCACCAAAAGATTAAGGTTTTGGCCCTCTACCTCAGCTAAGAACGAGTAGAACTGTGAAGACTGGTGAAATGTGTGGGGAGCAATTCGGACTGGACTAAGTTACTGGAATTAAGACTTATTCTATGCATCTGCTCTCCCACAATATGGCGCTGGGAGAGGAGAAAACAGCTTCTACACAGCTGCCTCCAGTTCAGCCAATAAACTGTAGGACTTGCTCCTGATTGGAGAGCAGCGTACTCGGCGTGTGGGCAGCCGAGTTAGGATTGGCGGAGGAGGACTGTAAAGGAGGAGAGAGACGGCATGCACCAGGAACATCCAAGGGGAACATCTAAGGGGAACACCTGTGCAGCCCCCGAGAGAGCCGGCCGGCGGTGTGCCGCTCCCCTGCGGAAGTGGGGAATGTGGCCAGGGGGAACTGCCCTTCCACGGAGGTGGAAGGGATAGTAGCCAACCCGGGAAGAACCAGCAGCAAACCCGGGGAGGGCCGAGCAGACGAAAGAACAGCGCAGGGTCATGTGTCGTTCCTCCACGAAGAGGGGGAGCGACAAAATGCAATTAATTTATTGTCCTACAATATTAGCCATTATTCTTGTTAGGGGTCATTTTGGAAACATGGCAAAAGTATTTACTTGTTCTCAAACACTCATTCATTAAAGGTTTTCATGAACTTCTCTAGCCTAGAGACAAGGATGATTTGGACTAGGTAAATGCTCTGGACATGAGGAAAATGGATGGATGCTTAAGAAATAGAGTTTATATAACTTTGCA